ACATCATATTCATGGTTCTGTTTTAAGATCTCATGTTTTGCTTCATTCTGCTGTATAAACAAGTCATATCCAACATGAACAGAGACATCCAATCAATGTTTCTGTTTTGCCCTACTGATATTTGTGTTAAATGTCAATCAACCATAAACTTGTATGATATAAACAAAACCATACATTTTAAAGAGTTTGTGACTACAGTCAAACACCTAACCACTGTAACGTGTTTCATTTGTTGCTGAATAACTTATGATAACTTGAGAAGAGACACCCTTTACAACTCCGAGTATCATAACTACTGAAAGAGTGAAACCTGAATAAAAATAGTTTAAATTAACTCAAGAATTATAACTTTTATGAAATCATCGTATCACATATTAAGTATAGAATGATGCTGAGTAAAAATAAAGCTTCAGTTCTTCTGTAAATTTACTGAAACATACAAACATCAATTATTTTTCGAATGGTTTATATGTCTTGTAATGTACTTCAGCGGGAATTTTGATGATTCAATAACTTGAACACCAAATTCACACTCTATTACTTGCTGAGTGTAATAAAATGTATGCGGTGATCTATCGTTTAAGGAATCAGTGATACTACGTTATCATAATAAACACTGCCTTAAATAATCCTTTTCGTTGTTGTGTCAGTGCTCAATTGAGAGATTTCTTAGTAAAAAACTGCTATATATATATATATATATATTCAAAAATGTTTACTAGAGTTTGTCAACTATTGTTGGTTACTGATAAAAATCACTTTCAAGAAATTCTGCATATTATAATCGATTGACTGCAAATTGAAAAAAAAACTAACAGTGACTCTTAATGAAAAATTTCTAATATACAATGTTACATCAAACCTGTCACATATCAACATTCCTTATGACTAGATCAAAATGCCTTAATCATAACCATATGTAACTTGATATAGAAACTTTCACTCACATATTTAAACGTGAAATGCTAAACAGTTCGTTTTTATTTAATGAAAAAGGCAGGCAAATTCAGCAAATAATTTTCAATGTATTTATTATCCCTCATTGTGTAGATGTTTGAAATTTCAAAGACCTCATGTTTTGTCAATGAAATTCCAACACATATTTTGATAAACTTATATCTGACTTCATAATTCATTGTTTGTGAGTTTTATACCCATCCTTCACCGATGCACAACATCCTGTAGTACTTATACAACCACGTCTTACCATCATTTACCCATCACCGATTGATTTCAAAATCTTGTAGCTGCAACCAGGCTGTGCCCTGGATTCTGTGCTTCCTCAGAGATGCAGAGGTGTTCATAATCCAATCAGTCACCAGAAGAACGAG